TAGAGCTGCACCTCAGCCTCGGCCTCCATCTTGTTCTCGCGTACGATCTTTGAGCATGCGCTCGGCCAGCTGCAGCGCCAGCGTGCGCGACATGAGCGAGCCCTCCTCGACGTCGATCGCCTGCGGGCGAGACTAGCGGCTCAGGTGGGGCTCAGGTGAGCCGGTGCCACCGGCGGCTCAGGTGGGCCGGCGCCACCGGCGGCACCGTATAGCACCGTATGGCAATAAGCACCGCATCACCATCATTGTCATACTATGTCTTCCATTCCCTGGCATGCCCCGAGAACCATTCGTAACGAACGCGACACACGTCAGGCCACACATCTATCTATCAGATCATGTGTGGATGGAGAGCACACCTGCATGAGGATGGACATGACCGCCCAGAAGTAGTAGGGGTTCTTGGGCCAGGCCTTGTACAGCGCCATAGCCGTCTGCTGCTGCTTCTTGTAGTTGAGCACGCGCACGAACGCCATGAAGAGATGCGAGTGGAACTCCTCATTGGTGGGCTCCTTCTTCACCACCGCCTCGTACAGCTCACAAATCTTGTGCGCTGCGGTAACAGGCCACCAACTGACGGGTTACACACGGCCCTACGCTGCGGTAACAGATCACCAACAGACGGGTCACACACGATCTGCACGGCCCTACACAGGCGTGTGCCTGCTTTTAGGAGCGGGCGTGGGGCTGGGACTGAATGTAACCTTTCTCGTGATCCAACAGGTGGATTTGGGTGCAGTCAATTTACGGCCGCGCTGCCAACGTAGAGCAAACAGAGGGTACAAAATATTCAATAAATCCGGCACACCCGTCCTTTCATAAATCATGGCACCCTCTTGTGATCATGTTTCTTAATCATCCAAAAAACCATTGGCACGTCGTTAAGCAGTGCTTTCCACACCATTCTCCCAGACATCGCCCCAGCAGCTCTGTTCACATGGTTGTCGGCGGCATGGGGTGATAGCTAGATGTTTAACGGCACCCACCACGACTCCTGCCATGAAGAGGGCACCCCTCACACGTACACCTGGTTGGCATGGCCTGGACGGGATAGAATGTTATGAAACTTAAAATTGTGCCCATTTCGTTGGTTCGCCTTTGTTTTCATCCAAGCTGTCCGAATACAAATTTGAAATCAACCAACATACTTTCTAGGATGGGCTAGAAAGCATACATCCCTCAAAAAAGTCTGTTGAAAATTCCTAAAAATGTAGAAAATTAAATTATCATGTGACCTATGTCTTATTCAGCAAAAACCTCAGGCAACCATTTTGAATCTGAAAGCTTGGTGCTCAGGCAGCGCAGCGTTCCCGTACTGAATTCTCTGGTTGATAGTGGCTCCGCGTCACCATAATGGCTCAAAAGGACGGTCTGACCTAAATATGTCATAGATGTGCTGCGATCGGTGCATATACTGGTGCCCGAGCCTGTGCCATATGACCATTGACCATGGTTTGTGTTAGGCGTGATTTGTCGCAACAACCAGTTGAAGTGTACTCCCACTTGGAGGTCGTCATATGCACCCCAACTGTCTTTCTGATATGCATCGATGTAGTCTGAAAATGCAATCGACACATGAAAATGCATCATGTGCTTGACAAATCATCTGATAGTGAAACACTAACCAAGCAAGGGGATGGGCAGTTGGTCGAACAGACTGCTTTCCGTCAGTGATTCAAAGACCACGACAGTAATGGATAGCCACATTCTTCATTTGATTCACTATCGTGCATTTCCGCAATATTTGTATCCAATCAAGGTTCCTCCTGTATCATGATTGGACAGAATGTGCAACATGTCTGGATTAGCTGACATTGTTGGATAAGATCATGCATAAATACAGGTTTTGGTAAATGCAAGCAGTCTTACCCTAAACTGAATTTCACAGGCTTAGTCTATCACAAGCACACAATGGATTGACCACAATGTCAAATCACATGTTTTTCAGCATGCTATATTTTATGCAGCTGGTATGAGCAGTAAACTATTCTGTATATGACTTGATAAAACCTGATTGTGTGCCATTTTTATAAGGCATTCCTTATTATTCCAACGTGATGCACAATGCAGGCATTAGATTGATACCACTATGCCTAACAACAAATATGTGCCTGATGTCCCCCCAACAATTCCCAGCATGCAACCCCAGGACCCCACAAAAATAGAACTGACAGGTAGAAAATTGGCACCTTTGATACTGCATTTATCCTTGTGATCCAACCACATGTCTGCTTGACAGCATGTTTTTCATGTTAGCTGTTATGCCATTACTGTTCCCGTTGACTCTATATCAATTCACAATTGGTTTTGCAGTCTTTCAATTTCAGCCCCAGCTTGTCAGTTTTTATTGACAGCAGTATCTGACCAGCATATTTTAACCAATCAACATCAGCTGGTACAGACAATTTTCATTCAGCAGCTGTCAATGCTGCACGCCATACATGCTTGAAAAAATGACATGTATGAGGTGCCAACCAATGGGCCAGAGAGAAGAGAAACAACAGAACAGAAACACGTCCTTAATCGGTCGTAACCGAGTCCAGGTCTAAAATCGATACACAAGGAGTTAAAATAATGCAGTGAAGCATCAAATCAGGAATACCAGACTACCACAGCACAATGGTGCTGATGAGCAACAAGGAAGAGCACTATCTGAAGAACACTGCTGGCACAGAGTGAAACAGAGGTACTCAGGATGGCAGCTCTGATAGCGACTCACGCTCGTGCAGCTCCTTGTAGCAGATGGTGAGCGCCTGTAGACTGTTGTCGTCTGTGGGCAGTTCAGCCACCACGGCCTCCACGATGCGGCGGCTCTCCTCTTGACGGTCCAACCGCAGCAGCGCCAGCGCCCGCAGCACCTGACAGACGCAGCAGTGTCAGTCACGGAGGCTGTCATCGTGACGGTCCAGCCGCAGCAGCGCCAGCGCCCGCAGCACCTGACAGAGGCAGCAGTGTCAGTCACAGAGGCTGTCATTGTGACGGTCCAGCCACAGCAGCGCCAGTGTCCTCAGCACCTGACAGAGGCAGCAGTGTCAGTCACGGAGGCTGTCATCGTGACGGTCCAGCCGCAGCAGCACCAGCGCCCGCAGTACCTGACAGAGGCAGCAATGGTAAGCACAAGATAAGCGCCAGAAATGGCAACAGTGTCCATTACTGAACGAGCTCCAGACACTGAGCCAGTGCTGCTACTGTAGCGGTGTCTGAAACTGCGGCAGTTAGGTATCAGTGTTAGCCACCAACTGCAGCACCTTTAAGAGCAAGACTGAAGCACACCTTTAACTTATGAAATCGTGCTCAAACATTGGTACAGCCAAAAGATAATTGGTAGTACCTTGGCACAAGCAAAGTTGGGCTGCTTCTTCAAAAGCCGATCCGCCTCCTGCAGGGCCTTCTTGCTGTTGCCGCAGTCCAACGAGTCTGGAAAGGCAGACGAAAAAGCTTAGCCCTGCCCGCGCGCTTCTGCCGTGCCATTACCTGCCACCACCATCCCTCACATCTCGGCGTAGGCACGACGCGACGCTACAGTATGCGAGTGACGCGCACGTCGAGCACGCCACGGCCAGAGGCGCGAGCGAGACTCACCGTATATGGGCCGCAGGCGACGCTCGCTCACGGACGCCATGGCGAAGCACGCCGGGCCGCCTCCTCTAGGCTAGGCTACCCGAGTCAGTGCTCAAGCATGGCTCTGCAGACACACAGACAAACCAGCTGCAATGCGGCCAACGGCGCGGCGCAGCGGCGCGCGGGCGCTGGAAAGGCGGCGGGTCAGCTGCGACAAGGGTGGTCACTGTGAGTTACCATGTACAAACTGTATTTCTGATTTTGATCTCCCACTTCCTGATCTATGCTGTGCAAATGTCTGTCCCATTTTATTTCCTCTCACATGTCACATATATCATAAATAGAAATGTATAAATTGACTGCTGATGTGTTATGCTGAGAAGATACTGCTCATTCTATCAGCAGGCATAATAACAACTGAGAGTCACACCTAAAATACATACTAATGCACACTGTCTTTGCACCACTGTACAGCATGCTGATGACTTAAGTGACTGCTGAACACATTTTCCAAAGAATGAAGTTTAAGTTTGTTTAGTGGTTATGGAACATAATTCGTGAAACTTGGGAATGCAACACAATGTGTGAGCACAACACAATTCCTAATCATTCTAGTTATCATGGCATGTCAATTGTTAGCAAATTAGTGTGTCTCAATTACTGCATCTTTAATATTGAAGCAGTATTAAACTTGTTATGGGTAAAGAACAAAACAGCAGGAAAGGCAGTAACATCACCATGGAAGACAGCATATGACAATCTTCTTGGCACTAAGCTTGGACTATTGACAGTCATGTTACTGTTTCCATGGGCAAATGTAATTTGCTCCCATGCTGTTTTGCCTTGGTCAGACATTACTGGATGCTAGATAGGAGACTGTCCTACCTCAAGCCTACCATTGCAGCCAGGCTTCTGACATTTGGAGATCAATACAAGGTCCAAAACTAAATTAGGTAGGAGATGCTAGATAGGAGGCTGCCCTACCTCGAGCCTACTACTGCAGCCAGGCTTCCAACACTTGGAGGTCAATACAAGGTCCAAAACTAAACATGACCATGCCTGTCACTTGCCCCTATTTTAATGTAACAGGAATCAACCATGTTCAAAATTTAATAAAATTGTATACACTCCATTCTTGAATATTCCAAACCCTCAATGTAATCAGTGTCATTTAAAAAATGAAGATAATGGAGATTGGAAACCAGATATGTGGGATAAAAGAGGAGCACAACACCTCCAACATACTACTGTGAACAAATGACAAATGCCATCAAACTAAAGTAATACCCAACAAAGGCTGCAACAAGGTGCTACTCATGTAACAAAATGGAACACACCAAATTCAGGTACATGACTTCCTGGTTTTAAACAAGCAAAGAACACCCAACAATCCATGGGTCCAAGGTTTTGTGCCTGTCATGCACTTTCTGCAGAGAATGTAACATGGCACTGATGATTATTTGGGCTTTGGGGTGCACCAACTACATTGGTCTGTAACATGGCATCAGTGAACTATATATCTGCATAAATGACATGATTCAGGTAAAAAGGGCAACCTTGACCTGGCCCATCAAACACTGGTCATACAAATACTTATGCAACCTATTTCAGAACACTGAATGCCTAGGAATGCAGTTCTTTTGTCATGTGCAAAATGATTGTGACATTCATATAATTTCAAGGAGTATGAGGTTTGCCTTGGCTTAGCTTCACCAACAAAAATGGATACCATGACCAAATCAGACATCATTTCATGTAAATCATAAAAGGACTCATTATAAACAAGACCAAAAAGGAAAACATGCAATTTTCAGCATTAACCATACCTCTGTTGTAAAAAAACAAAACATTTTTACTCTTATCTCATGGTACAGCCTGCAGGGTTATGACAAGGTCACCAACTATACAAAAACAGTAAACAGGACAAAAAGTACATAATTTAGGCCTTAACCACCTATTCCTTCATATCTATATTCAATTATATTTCTACTGTGCACTTCAATAGCAATGGGAGTAATATGTGGGCAAAACTAATCAGTCACTTGTCATTGCTGTGGGAAATACCTATGACAGAAGCTGAAACACCTAGCAAGCACACTTGATGTGTAAAAACCAAACTTATTTTGAAACCATTTACAGGTGAAATAGTGAAATTTGTCAATTAACTCCATCCAATCTAGCACCAGATGAAAAGCAAACTGGGCATCTAGTGGAATAAATGCATTATTTCTCAGAAAGGTGTACTCCAACATTGGTTTGGAACTTCTGTCAGTGCCCATCTGGACTATGCTTTATGACAGTGTCAGTACATGATTCCATAATTTAAAAAAATGAAATGTTTACACACTCCCAACTTTAGGGTATAGGCCAGACTTAACAAAAAATGATAATGTGGCATATATAGCACAGCAGCAACATTCTGGCAGCAATTTCAGTGCATGCATGGTATAAATCTGATACACACAACTATTATGAACAAGTACAACCAATTTCATTACCCAGAGCCAACCTTCCACAAACTATCATGTTCCATGATAATCTTAATCAAAACCTACCAACATTAAAAAAAGAAATTTCAGTGCAATTTTACCTGCCCTGAGCTGAGCACACATATTCCAGGCTAAGCACACCACACACTAAGGATCCAACACAGCAGATATACTTTTTGCATGTAAGGATGGTGATATAAGCATTTAACAAATTTTTTATTCTGAAACTAACCAAACTGAGAAAAAAATCTGAAAAACTGCAGCACTTTGGTAGAAAATAACCAGAATAAGGCAAGAAGACATTGTATGTAAATTGACCACTGCAAAATGTAGACTGGATTTGAGAACTTGGGGGGAATTAGTAATTGCAGGAAAACATGACTTAATTTAGCACAGCAAACACCAGATATTTAGTCTTGCCGATGTGCACTGTGAAGAATTAACTTCATGTGAACATTATCAATCATACGGCACGAAATGGCCGGCCTGCTTATCAAAATAATTCAGTCATCTTCGGTGGGCAAAACTTATTTTCCACCCTTGTTTACAAGTGTTGAAACGTCTCTTTGGGCGCATCGGCTACGCAACACATGCACATAAGAGTACGCATATACGAGCCCTAACCACGAATACACATACCACTTACAACGACCTCTAAACGTCGGTGCGTGACAACCTATCATTGACGATATTCGGCAATCAGCCAACCCAGTCCACTGTCGTCGCTCATGTACACGAGCGAACCATGCCACGGCACAAGGATGTGCGTCTCATATGCCTCTTTTTCTGTTTCGAGTGAGCTGTAGTTAAAACACTGCTATATCATCAATCATCCTTATCATCAAAGTGAAACACTTAACTATCACTTTTATCAATAACAGCCTTGTTTCACAACTCTAACATGGAGCGGCTTATTTGCGCGTCAAGCTTTGGTACGCACTCAATCGGCTCCTTACCCGCGCCATCACTAACAAAATTACTTTGCGAGTTGCCGGCACGCTAACGGAAAGGGCCCCAACAACAGCACAGGGCCCCTTGAGCAAATGCAAAGAAATGAAGGGCAACGTGGAATGCTCCTAAACGACCGAAACAAACTTGCAAGGGGCACATAGGTCCCCCGGAAACAGCATTGGACCATAGACGGTGTAATGGGACTTCAAATTGCCAGTTCATAACTTTTCCAGTCATTGAGTAATTTTTGGGACTTCTCATAGGCCCTTTACTTTCGCTTGCAATAGTTCTTGGTGGCCTGAAAGTCCAGAAATACCCAGTTTTGTTGCGTTTTGTGTTGAAAAAACTGCACCTGTTCGGCCCGCTGTGGGTCCTCTGGAGCCAATGGGCCCCATCGGGGCCCAAGGGGCATGCCCCATGGCCCTCTCTCTGGATCCGCCCCTGCTTGTTACCGTACGTTATTTTCCACTTGTTTGCCCCTCCCCAGAACTTAGTTTGCCCTTGATGTTGGACTGTCATGGGGAGAAAGCGATTCATCCTAAGCCTGAAATGTCATTCAGGTGACCACGACGAAATCTGAAATGGGAGCACCGTAAATCCGATATGGGAACCGAAGGGCTGGCTGAAGGTCATTGAGGAGGCGTGGGTCGGACCCTCAAATACCAGCCAGAGGGCCCGTTGCACCGATTGGGCCCCGGCCTGGGCCTGGGAACCCACTTCCCAAGCAGGGACAAGGTCAGGACCCGCGATTTACATTGGTCAGTGCACCCCGAGCCAATGAGGGGCTTCTGTGTCGGCCAGGGGCACACAGCGCCTAACCGAAGATCCAGTGTTGACAAGGGCCCCCGAGTTGGTCAGGGAGTGTACGAGGGTGCCTGAAGAGGGACCGATGTGCCCTTAAAGACTGCCAATCAACGGGCCGATGGAAAGGCTGAATGGCTGTAGGGGTCAAAAGGCTGCAGGTCATCCTGGCCCCTATGGCTGTGATCCCAAATGTCAGCCAATATGCCTCTTTCGCGGATTGTGGGCCCCGGGGACAGTGCGGGCACCTATTTCGCCTGGAGACCACTGCACCGAATAATTGACTCCGTGTTGACTGGGGCCCCATTTCTCTAGCAGGAACGAGACCAAGGCCCGCGATTTGCATTGGTCGGAGTCCCTACAACAATAATTGGTCTTTTGAGGGTCAGGTCCCCAGAGTGTCCAACAGGGGGTCCTGTGACGGAAGGAGTCCTGAGTCAGCCAGAGGTGACCCGGGGCCTTTGAGGGACCCTTCTCCCCGTTTAAGCCAAGGGTCTGTTGGCCAAACATGGGTCTCTGTGCCAGTTATTGGATCACCTGCGCTTATCAGAGATCTTGTTGCCCCAATGAGGGCTCTTGCGCCTATTCCGGGTGAAATGCACCCGCCAGAAGCCGCCAAAGGGCCTTCCGCGCCAGGGACGGCACCAATGTAGGACGTACATCTGTGAGGGCCTCTGGACAGACCCATCAGGCGAACCCACCTCTATGTCGCCAGAATGGCAGCTGGTAGACACCCCGGGCTGGGGCGGAATGATCTTGAAGCAATTGCCCGGAAGGGTTGTGTGCGCCTAGCTTTTCACTAATGTTTACACATTTTACACGTTACATTACACATTTTCAATGAATGTTTACACAAGTTGCTGACCTCATTTAGATTTACGGCCAACCTTCACGGGATCCTCAATATCTCTGTAGGGTGTGGACCACCCCCTCCCCCTGGAGGGACGGGGTCTTCTTTATCTTTAGTCCTCCCTCTGGCATTAGAAACTGCGCTGCTGTCCAGTATAAGAAGCCCAAATTAGAATTCATTCCCCTTAGAAGTGAAGCGAGTTGGCATCATCACGCCACACTGGTAGACCATGAATCCACCCACTTAATATCGGCCGTCGTCGAGATTCGAACCCGGGCTTACCGCGTGCGAGACCAGCATGCTGACCATCCATCCACTGGAGATGTGGGCCCGGCGGCGGAAAATTTGTAGTCATAATAGAACTGGTTCAGAGTGAGTTGATGGATTTCGTGATCGTTCGATGCCTATCACGCATAGAGCCGATTTTCGCACGATATTTTGCATATTTGCACTTTATTCCCTCTATGGCTGGCAATCCGCGTATGCTTGACACGCACAACCATTTGAAATATTTTTGGAGGGCGTATAAGCCTGGTGCGTAGCCACCCTCCATTTTGGAGGGTGTATAAGCTCGGTGCGTAACCACCCTCCGTTTTGGAGGGTGTATACGCGCAGCCAAAATGAAAATGCGGGCCAAGGAGGTGACGGGTATAGGTGACTAGCCTATACTGTAGTCAGAGGCGCATGTGGTCGTGGTAAGAGAGGCACTACACTTAACGAAGGTCTCCTGCTAGTGTAAAGGCAGCAGGTAATCCAATCTCCCCAAATCACCCCGAAATGAGCCAAAGGATTTAGCCGCTTTATCTATGGATCAATTTTGTTCAGCTATATGCTGCACTTCTTTAACTGAAACGGAACTCAGAGGCTCCCAGAAGATACAATTCTGCATGCATTTCGAAATAAAGGCAAATTCAGGCTTTACTAGGACAATGCTTTCAAGGGATATAAGTTCCTCCTGGTTAGCTCATTGATAAATAATTGGACTATCAATCAGTAAGACCCTGGTTCGAAACTCATCTAGTCTTAGGAGAAAAGGCGAGCTGCCAGCACGCATAGCTGATAACCAAGCATCAGCCAGTCCTTCTCAGTATTCCATAGCACCTGACAACAGCCGGAGAGTTGACTGGTCGAAACGTCGTGTATAAAATCAAACAGCGGACGTGGACGACAACCCGAATAATCATTCCATGCGTGAAGTTTCAGTTTCGGCGTCCCTTCGCCACAAGGGCAGATCCTGGATTTCTTTCAGAATTGCAATTTCCCTTGGAAACTGTTATCTTTAAGAGAAAAAGGTGATAGGATTCTTCGCGGTGCCCCCTAAAATTGGGTGTCTATGAAAATAAAAGTATGACTCGCTGAAATAGAGGCTTTTGGGATCGCCGCTCAGCCGAGCAGGAATAAGGTTTGGAGCCCTTTGTCATGCCCTCTGAGATTAGGCGCCTCTTGCAAATAAAGGTTATGACACCCGAAATGATGGTTATGGTGCTCCTTTGCGGAACTTGCCGATCCAAAACTTTGTCAATTGAGCACGGCATGGATTTTGTGGTATGGATTGCCCTGTATGTGACATGGATTGCCCTGTAAATCGAAGGCTATCTGGTTCCAAAATGCAGGTTTCGGCACGCCTTCACCATGAGATTTGGGTGCCACGATGGAGTAGCAAACCTCATAAGTTGTCCGAATGGCTGGGTGGCATCGCCCGATGGCTCACCTCTCTGGATGCAACCCTGTTCGTACAGTGTTGTTCGATTACAAGCAGAAGGATAATACAGCCAAATTTTGGCATACCTGTAGCATTGCCATCATCTCATTCAATAACCTATCTTCTTAAGCCACAGTGGCTGGTACTTCCGGGGGAGCCCACAAGGTACTCAAAATCGCTGTCTTCCCGTAACCTCTTAGAGCAGCCTCTCAGCGGCGTCATTTGTGGATGCGTATGATATCCACCATGACAAGAAGGTGCTATGCCCAAAAAATCGAATGGATTTCTCCAGCAATTAATCCGTCTCTGAACACAACAAAAACATCGTTACATCACATTTTCGGAAGTTGTTCAACGTCTGTGAAGAAAAATGCAACACAGATACTAACGCTCATCTGCTATCTCGTACTCATCCTCAAGGGACGAACTATCGAGGAAGACAACATCCTGAAATAATGGGTACCTTCCGTACAATCGTTATTTATAATTACTAAGTCATTTCAGCAGTATCTTCAGCTATATTGAAGGTCATTAGCTAATCACAAGACCTTTAAACTCAAAAGTCCGAAAAACCAGGACCTGAAAGTCTTTGTTCTTATATGAAGTCCAAATCATGACCAGAATAAAGTGGGTGAAATCCATAAAGAAATGTATCTTGGAAATAAGATGGGTAGGGCTCATGAGTTCTTTCCCCCCCCCCACCCCCCTCTCCACCATCAACCCCAATGAAAAAACCGCAAAGTTACATCTCTGGCTACCTATCAAAGGGTAAATGTCTTTTGATCGAGTGTAATCGAACAGTCACAAAGGAGAGGTGGTTTGGGGCAGCTTAACATCGCGCTGTGGTGAAGTTGCAACGCAGCTGAGCTTGCAGACAACGTGAAAACATTTTTTCCTGCGTTCACAGCATGATCAGGAGAAGAGAAGGTCTCGCCCGAAGTAGGCAGTGCGTAACCGGGTGTGGCACAGCAAAAGAAGTTATAACGTAGATTACGGACTTACGGATTACATACTTCTTGAAAGTATTAACAGCGGTAGGCAACTGCGACCAGCATTACCTTCGGATCATAACCGAGACCCAGGACCATACTATCACCAACTTCCGAACGGCAATTGAAAAGTTAGTCTCGTGCACCACTGTTTATGCTAAAAATCAACAGGATGGCCAGCAAACGAGGACCAAGGCGAACTCCAATTAAACGCGGCGCCACAGCGTCAGCCCTCCCGCGTCTCACACTCGTCTGACGACCCCCCCCCCCCCCACGTCTCGCATTCGTCTGTCGGCCCTCCCACGTCTCGCATTCGTCTGTCGGCCCTTCCACGTCTCGCATTCGTCTGTCGACCCTCCCACGTCTCGCACTCGTCTGTCTGCCCTCCCACGTCTCTCACTCGTCTGTTGGCCTTCCCAGGTATTGCATTCGTCTGTCGGCCCTCCCACGT